AAGATTCTGCTAAAGCAAAAATTTTTTGTTCAAAGGAATGCAATTCCTGGCGATACTCCAGTTATGAACACAAAGCTACAAATTCACCTACGCACTCACAAACTTGCTTGCTCCATTCGGCTCTGCCCGTAGCATATCTTCTCCAGCGGTGTGCACCTAATGATTTCAGATCTGCACCGACATCGTCCAGCCATCGCAGTCGAGGTTTCCCCCGCTTTCGTCCACCACCTGGCTTCTCGTAGAGCAGTTCTTTTGGGGTTCTACTGTCAAAAATATTTTTAGATCAAAACATGAAAAAATGGCTGTCAGTGCATTTGGAATCATTGCTCTACCTGTGTAATTTTGCTTCTCTCAGCGTGTTTATTTTGCTATTATTTCCATTCTCATTCCAACAAATAGGTTGAAGAAATAATTCAGTTAATAACTATGGTTGTCCCCAAACGTTTGTGATTATAGACTTACACGGTTTTTGTCACACGAGTGTTTATAATAACGAATATTGAAACGGCCATTGCTGTTATTACGCCGTCAGTAGACAGCTATAATTTAGAAAGTCGATGAGATGGGTTTTCACCTCCTCAGTTCCTTGAAGAGCATTCCGCAGATGGAGTCGATAAGGGTGAGGAAATCAAGAAGGAAATTGGAAGATGGTTCGCTGTGTCCTCACGTTCAGCTAGTGTTCCGACTGTCATCTTTGTTAGGTCTGTCTCCGCTGGTGTTCGAGAACGGAGAGTCCAGGTTCTCGTACCCCAGAGCCGTTTACTCGATCATTATTTTATGCATTACTTTATTTTTCGGCTTTTTGAACTTCGAATTCGTTTTATACTTCTTCAACGACGTTTCATTATTGATCATTGCTCTGTTGAACATAGCCATTTATATTTCTTTACCGATTTCATCAGTGATTGATACTTTCCGTAATGTATCAGATTATGGACACATCTTTGAAGAGCTAAGAATAATCGACTCAGAGCTCTCCGCCATTGGAGTTCTCAAGGTCCATCGCAAAGATCTGTCTACCTGGCTCTTAGAGATTTTGATGATTTCTATATATTTTATAATAGTACTATCGTTTCGCTGGAATTTCGCTTTCTTTTACCATTGTATCGGAATGACAACTTATGCCCTCGTCTGCTGTCAGGTCATCGCAGTTGAATGCCACATCCTCAGTCGCTACGATCTGGTCGTGCACACCCTCTGCCAGCTGAAGAACACACAGCACAACATTAATAATAAAGTGGAAACCCTTCTAGCTGTTAACCATCAGCTGTCTAAAGTTGTGAATATATTTTCTTCCAGTAACAGGTTGCAATTCTTAGCATTGACAATCTTCGCTTTTGTTTACTTTTCTTCGAGGCTGTACTTTATCTATTTTAACTGTCGAGATATGATTAATTTTGTATATTTCATTTTTTTCATCGTTTTTGTATGTTTTAATTTTTTAAGAAACATTAGATGTTCCTCTACAATAATGCATAAGGTAAACCATAATAATATCTGATATATAATAAGTTGGTGTTAAAGAATACTTAGCTAAGATTTCGGCTTTTTACTTGGTAACAATAACTGAGTAGCAAATACTAATTGTTTTCAACAAAATGAATAAAGGAGGATTCATTAAAATTTTTAAAATGCAGAAAAGAATGGACACTTTTAAAATAAATAAATCATACTATGAAATATTACATTATTTACATCTATGCAGGGACCTGAAGCAGTCCTAAGTGGATCCCAATCTTTGCTCGATGGACAGACGGACATATCCTCGATGACGCTTTAACGTTTCCTTGTTCTTGCTCTTTTGCGATGTCTAAATCTTTTTGAATTCTACTTTAAACAGTTTTTTAGATACCCTCTCTTCGTTCACTTTTTCATTCTGTAAACATGAATGAACGAATGATCAAGCTATTCATTTCATTTTGATGAAACCTGAGATTAGTAGGTTTCCGTACTGTAATTTTTCAACCAAATATTTGTATTATCATTTCTTTGATATAAAATACAATTAATATTCAAAGTATATTCCATTGTCATCTACCGTCATTAGCCATCTGCTAGCCAATTGCTTGATTCCACACTGATACCATTCCTTGGAATGGCTGTCATAGAACTCTTGGACCGCAATATAAACTTCCGCAAAATTATATTTTTTTTCCTTTTAAGAAAAACCAAAGATCAAGTAATTAGTAATCCCATGTAGTAAGGTCTGAATTATATGGTGGATGAGGCAGGAGTTCGAATCCTTGACGTTAATTAAACTTTTCTAACCAACTTTTTAAACCAACGCTACGGAGTTCGCTGGTCAAGGACATCTTTCCCTTCATATTTAATTATTTCACGAGTTGCTTCAGCGGCCTTAAACTTGTGAGAATTTTGTAGGACACAGTCCTGTTTCTTCTTTGAAACATATAATTAAACTGAGACTTTTTGTTTGGAGAAGTCGGATGGGATCAAACAAGCTTAGAGAATGTTCTAAAGAGATTATTAAGTATTTGTAAGTATTCAATAGGATTAAAATGTTTACTATATCCATCTATAAGAAGACGCTACAACCCTAGGATGGGTCCTGGTCTTCTCTATGAACCTCCGCCATTCGGGTCGGTTTTGGGCTGCTGTCTTCCAATTTCGGACTTTTTAAGATACCTTTTATTCACAGTAGATATAAAAAATGGCTAAATATGAAGTTTGAAAGAGTATGATAATTGGAAACTGGAGAAAAAAAGAAAGCTCCGCTTAAAATAAACTTCAAAAAATTTATAATAATCCAATATTGCCAGAAAATAATTTCTATTCGAAATAGAGCGGTAAGTGAAAGTTGTGTGTTGCGCGCACTAGGTTTTTTACTTTAATTCGTGGTTATTGTTGCAATTACATCGAACTTAGAAATTTATCGGCGGTTGATGAAGATGCAGAAGATACTTTTTATCCCTTCTTTGTATTTCGGTAATACGGGTTTGGTGAGTATAAACCAAGTTTAATCATGACCGGTCGACCTTAGAAAACTTGGTATAATATTAGATAACGCATAGCGCGTAGAAACACCCTCTCGCATTTAATTCAATCAAGAAGCGGTTTGGCGAATGCCTTGTTGCAGTTATAAACCTTCCAATGTTTATAAGATTCTGCTAAAGCAAAAATGTTTTGTTCAAAGGAATGTAGTTCCTGACGATGACATACTCCAGTTACCAACACAGAGTTACAAATTCATTTACGCACTCACAAACTTGCTTGCTCTATTGGTCCGTCCACAGCTTGCTCCATTCGGCTCTGCCCGTAGCATATTTTCTCCAGTGGTGTGCACCCAAAGTCTTCAGGTCTGCCTAGACATCGTCCAGCCATCGCAGTCGAGGTTTCCCCTGCTCTCGACCAACACCTGTCTTCTCGTAGAGCAGTTCTTTTGGGGTTCTGCTGGAGTCCAATTTCTCACATGTCCCAACTACATTTATCAGTCTAGCTGGATGTAAAAGACTATGTTTCCCTCTCCAAACAAATCCTGTAGCCAAAGAGGCAGCAGCGATTCTGGCTTATATATTGGCTTTGGTCAAATTATTCTGAACAACATTGTATTTTGTACTCACCCAGTTCACTGACCCATGACCTGACACATGATCCACTCACTCAGATCAACTCACCCAGTTGGTGGTGTATTGTCCGCTGTTCACCATACCTTCTTGCCGCCTGCATATATATTGTCTAAACTAAATCTACTAACTATCGGCTTCAAAAGTACTTGAAAAATGTCCCTCGACTTCAAGTGCCTAAAGTATTTTTACCACTGCCTAAGTTCCGCCCTATTCTCACTCTCAGATTTCGTTACCCTTAGCCTCAACCTTATTGATTCTTAACTTAAAACAATTATTGTTATTGTAAAGGTGTCTACCTCCACACATTCCTCTCCAAATCAATCCCAACATCCTAGCCTCTTCCAATCTTCTCTTTCCTTTCTCGGAAGCTCCATGAAATTTGAAACTGAGGATCCAATAAGAGAATCCAAAGACTACCTAACCAGAAAAACCTCCACCCCAAGATACTGCGTTCTACTTCTATTCCAGGCCATGAGAATCATCTATTTGATTTGAATGAGAAGGTTTTGTAGATAATCATAATATTAAATTTCCTTTTTTTGGCGGATAGAGGGAAAACATTACTTCAACTGATTATCCCAAATATATCTTTCTTCCAAGAATATCAGATGTTTTGAGTGTTTTTTCTGGACTATGGATTATTAGACTATCTTCGGGTTTGTTTCTACAATATTTGACGCCATATTTCCATTTAAAAACGAATTATGATACTGTAATTAAAGTGAATTTATTGGTCATTTGTATGTTTGTTGTCGACTCTTTCGAACACTAAAGATGTTACTACCACATCTGAGGTATATTCTCCTGTATGTGGATGGAGAATCACGCAAGGAGCTGAGGGAACAATAATGGATTCAAAGCTTAATCCACTGATTTTGGCTCTATTGTGGAGATGGCTATAGAAATTGCTCCTTTAGTGAAAACTTGCGTTCCTGCATCAAAGAAAATGGAAGTGAATACGTTGGATCCTTTATTTTACTGTTAGAGAGTCTTTGAAATGCTTGGTTAAAGCAATCATTTCATTCTCATCTCCAGCTACTTCTTTTCTAGTTACATATTGAGGTTTCTTTTCGCGTTACTATCATTGCTAGGACTGGAGACCTAACAATAGGGTTTGGACCAGTCTTCTTCATAATTCATCTTGGACAGAAAAGATTTGATTCTGAACTATTTGGAATCATTGATCTCCCTCTGTAAATTCCAACAAGTAGATTGAAGAAATAATTCGTTTAATAACTATGGTTGTCACCAAAATTTTGTGATTATAGACTTACACGGTTTTTGTCACGTGAGTGTTTATAATAACGAATATTGAAACGGCCATTGCTGTTATTACGCCGTCAGTAGACAGCTATAATTTCGAAAGTCGATGAGATGGGTTTTCACCTCCTCAGTTCCTTGAAGAGCATTCCGCAGATGGAGTCGATAAGGGTGAGGAAATCAAGAAGGAAATTGGAAGATGGTTCGCTGTGTCCTCACGTTCAGCTAGTGTTCCGACTGTCATCTTTGTTAGGTCTGTCTCCGCTGGTGTTCGAGAACGGAGAGTCCAGGTTCTCGTACCCCAGAGCCGTTTACTCGATCATTATTTTATGCATTACTTTATTTTTCGGCTTTTTGAACTTCGAATTCGTTTTATACTTCTTCAACGACGTTTCATTATTGATCATTGCTCTGTTGAACATAGCCATTTATATTTCTTTACCGATTTCATCAGTGATTGATACTTTCCGTAATGTATCAGATTATGGACACATCTTTGAAGAGCTAAGAATAATCGACTCACAGCTCTCCGCCATTGGAGTACTCAAGGTCCATCGCCAAAATTGGTCTACCTGGCTCTTAGAGATTTTGATGATTTCTATATATTTTATAATAACACTACCGTTGCGCTGGGATTTCGCTTTCTTTTTCCATTGTATCGGAATGACAACTTATGCCCTCGTCTGCTGTCAGCTCAAAGCAGTTGGACGCCACATCCTCAGCCGCTACGATCTGGTTGTGCACACCCTCGACCAGCTGAAGAACACACAGCACAACAATTAATAATAAAGTGGAAACCCTTCTCAGTTAACCATCAGCTGTCTAAATTTGTATACATTTTCTTCCATAACGGTTGCGATTCTTAGCATTGACAATCTTCACTTTTTTTACTTTTCTTCGAGGCTGTACTTTATCTATTTTAACTGTCGAGATATGATTCATTGGGCATATTTCATTTTTTTCATCGTTTTTGTATGTTTTAATTTTTTAAGAATCATTAGATGTTCCTCTACAATAATGCATAAGGTAAACCATAATAATATCTGATATATAATAAGTTGGTGTTAAAGAATACTTAGCTAAGATTTCGGCTTTTTACTTGGTAACAATAACTGAGTAGCAAATACTAATTGTTTTCAACAAAATGAATAAAGGAGGATTCATTAAAATTTTTAAAATGCAGAGTGATGCAGAAAAGAATGGACACTTTAAAAAAAATAAATCATCCTACGAAATATTACATTATTTACATCTATCAAGCTATTCATTTCATTTTGATGAAACCCGAGATTAGTAGGTTTCCGTAATGTAATTTTTCAACCAAATATTTGTATTATCATTTCTTTGGTGTAAAATACAATTAATATTCAAAGTATATTCCATTGTCATCTACCGTCATTAGCCATCTGCTAGCCAATTGCTCGATTCCACACTGATACCATTCCTTGGAATGGCTGTCATAGAACTCTTGGACTCTTGAGATTCGCAATCTCAACTTCCGCAAAATTATATTTTTTTTCCTTTTAAGAAAAACCAAAGATCAAGTAATTAGTAATCCCATGTAGTAAGGTCTGAATTATATGGTGGATGAGGCAGGAGTTCGAATCCATGACGTCAATTAAACTTTTCTTTGGTTCGACGTGGTGTGAGGACAAGCATTATCTTGTTGGAATAAAATTTCTTTTCCGTTGATCAAAGCAGGAAAGCGCTCTGACAACTTCGGTACAATCTTTCCAGTTGTTCAGAATTCGTAGAGTATCCATCACAAACAAATTCGTGATGAATAACACCTTCAAAATTAAATTTTTTTTTTTTTCAAATTGTTCCTTTGCAGCCACAGGGAAAGCAATTTGACCGAGATCTAGCCATTGCTCACGGGTATTCGGATTTCGCTAGTAAACTAACTTTTCATCACAGGTGACAATCTTCTGGTAAAATCTCTTATCAGAGGGATTTTTCAACAAATGCTCACAAATTTCTAACCTCTTAGGGCATTGCTGAGGAGTAAGTAGGCTGAGGGACCATTCTTCTGCTTTTTGGAGAGTAAATGGCGACTAACAGTATCTTTCGACACACCACACTCCCTAGAATGTTCGCGAGTACATTTTAAATGCAACGCCACGAAGTGCGCTGGTCAAGGACATCTTTCCCTTCATATTTAATAGTTTCACGAGTTGCTCCACCGGCCTTAAACTTGTGAGAATTTTGTAGGACACAGTCCTTCTTTTTTCTTCTTTGAAACAAATAATTAAACTGAGACTTTTTGTTTGGAGAAGTCGGATGGGATCAAACAAGCTTAGAGAATGTTCTAAAAAGATTATTAAGTATTGGTAAGTATTCAATAGGATTAAAACGTTTACTATATCTATCTATAAGAAGACGCTACAACCCTGTGATGGGTCCTGGTCTCCTCTATGAACCTCCGCCATTCGGCTCGGTTTTGGGCTGCTGCCTTCCATTTCGGACTTAAAGCAGCCCGACTCTTCTTGGACAGTGAATTTCTTCTTCCATGACTCTTTTAGGTATTTCGCCGGAACTTACCCGTGCAACAAGCTCTGACCACCCAAGGCGTCCAAGCCTAATAAAGGTCACAACATCTATATCCTGGAGCAACTCTTAGAGTTTATTATTTATTCTTCTTCTTCTCCACCCTTCCTCATTCCTTACCGGTCCAGACCTTCCTCTCGAAGACCAGGAAATTTTTTCTATCCTGTGTGGACATTGTCCATGTCTCCGAGGCGTATGTTAAGACAGGCCTAATCAGTGTTTTATATAAATGGGCCTTTGTTTTCCTGCTAATAAGCTTGCTTCGGAGCTTTTTAAACAGACCAAAGTAGCATCGGTTAACCGCTGTGGGGACATTATTTGTTTCTGTGACCTGAGATTCAAGGTAAATAAACTCCTCCACTCTCTCAAAAGTACAGCTTCCTACGACAATCTGTCTGTGTTGAGGTATAGCTTCTCCGGTGTACACATATTTTGTTTTGTTTTCATTAATAGCCTGTTCATTCAGCAGGTGCCTAACGTGCCTTACCCACCGCTGATGTATCTCTTCCTTACTTTTCAAGAGAATCCCATCTTCTTTTTTCCACGCTTGGATTTTATGTTTCAATCGGGCTCTACCATTGTTCTCCTTCCATTGAAAGAAGAGCCTGTTTTCATTCGCACTCTTGTGAGATTTTATTTCTTTTTGTGAGATATGTGAGACATTTACTCTATTTCCCAATGTTTCTTCTTCTTCTTCGTATGCACATCTTCTCATCTATCTTCTTTTTGCGGTATTCCTTTATGGGTTCCCTTGTGAACCATTTTTGCACCATAACTAGGTAGGAGAAGTTCTTAAGCTTGTAGTGGCAACAGTTTCCGGCATAGTTTCCGCTCTTGTCACATAGTACATCAAGTTCTCCTTCCCACCACCAGGCAAGCTTGCCTGTGGAACATACCAAAATTTTATCTTTTACTTCTTATTGTTGTATTATAAAATACTTAAATTGTAAATTGAAATATGCATCTTTATCGTAAATAGTTTTTATTAATAAAGTCTAATGGCGATAACATATACTGACCAAAGCTCAAAATAACTGTTATAGTAACGGCTCTTGGTAGTTGGTTTTGTCTTGGCGGAATGAATACCGCAGTCAAATCTCAAATTGTCAGATCTACGGATCACCACCCCTTCAGGGTGTAGACCTTTATGCAGATGGTCAGTACATGTATCATATACGCTTAATCTGCTCTTCTTGTTTCACATTATCCTTTTACCTTTACCCTCATCTCTTATTCCATGCAAGTTGGACGCTGATCCGTCCGCTTGTAATCCTATATACTGCGTCAAGAGATTGGATCCCTCCCTTAGTATTTCTTCCTCCCACAAGTCTGGAGTTAGATCCCTCCGGTTGTGGTTACTATCCTTGCGGAGTGTTGTGCTTGATCTCTTACACCGCAGGCTGAGAGTGATTGGGTGCTGATCCGCCTATCACTCGAGGTCATCCATCTATTCATCTTCCTATATTCATTCAGTCATCTTACCCTAAATACTGAACACGCACTGTCGAGGCCTTCTGGCAACTTGCATACTGCCTCTTTGCACACATACCTCGACAAGTTCAATAAGTTGGAGCATCCATGCACTTATTATATATATGGGATATGGTCAATTCGGTTGAAGGTTTGAGGTGTGGGCATCCCTATGTTGCTTTCTGTATCCTGCGGCCACCGTAGATTATGGTCCCAACCACCGAGTTCCGAGTGGCCGCAAAATTCGCGGTTCTCTGAACATTTTCGTAACATACCTTATGGACGCTATGTGGTCTAATCGTTGGATATTACATGTTTTCTCGGCCACTCTTTGCGTTGAAGTTCGCCGCCAGTATTTTGATGTCGCTTTTTGGTCAAGCGTCATGTGCTCCTTCCAAAGCATCATAGAACTCTTCCTTGTCCTCTTCACTTGAGGTTTCCGTTGTGCCATGGCAACTGATTATAGAGTATTTGTACAAGGTTCCCTTGATCCTTATTGCACATTGAATTCAATGACATTCTTCCGCATTTGTCCTTTAACAATGTTAAAATATTTACTGTCCTTTGTAATCTTGAATTTGATAAAACGATAATTTTTTATGTTCCCTATTAAATCATGGCAACTCTCCTCGCCTCCTCGTATTGTCTGATCTTGACGGGGAACGGTTTTCTCTTCTACTCTTTCATATTTTCAGGAAATCCCAATAAATCATGGAATCCTGTCAGTTCCAGGACGTTGTATTTTAATTATTGAAATCGGGGGCGGGGTGGCCGAATGGTGTGCACAAAACCGCGACTTGCCCGGAAACCAAATAACCGAAGTTCGCGTCCCGGTTTCGAGGAGAATTTTAAATATCCAGCCCTCACTCTCCTGCCCCGAAGAATCCCACATAGCCAAATAGGCGAGGGAGGGAAGAACAAGAAAAAAATTGGAACAATATTGGAATCGTTTTGGCACTTTGTTAGAACTATTGATTTATTCGCGAAATATTTAGTTTAATTAGTAACTAAACTATTATTTATTTTTAATTTCAATTCGCATGTTTCAGTCGCAGCAGTTCGATCTCCTCCTCTACCAGCTCATGATTAGCGATGAGGACTTTGGATTACTTGACAACCTAAAGAGCCAACACTTAAATGTCTAAATATTATTCCTCTATTTTCATATCAATTATTACTAATAATTTTACAGCCAAAGTTAAAACTTCATATCGCAATGAAGAAGAAAGTAATCATCACAGCATGTGACTTCTTCACGTTGGATTTCTCCCTGGTCCTAGCGGTGAGGAGCTAACCTATATTTATTTATTTATTTATTTTTTTAATTTTATTGAGTATTAATACTGTCTGCCACACTGAAGGGCATTGGTCCTATGGCTATTGTATTCATTCACACAATATGTTCATAAGAAAGGAAATTAAATAAAAATAACCAAATAAGAAGATAATGAAGGAAAAAAAATATATATAAATAAAACGATAAAGTAATATACAAGATAAGTAAAATAACATATTAAAGCCGAATGATAATTAAATAAATAAAAAACATTCACATCTATGTACACTATATAGCCTATATTTAAAAAGATAATTAAAATGATTGCTCCTAGACACGACCTCATTACTTCACAGATCCTAAAATTGCTTCCTTGGAAAGCCATATTATTCCTTACTTTTATATATATAAATATATATAATAATATATATATATATACTACAGTGCTGCGTACCTCACATTTTCCTAACCCATGGAAATTGTCCATTATCAAAATGATAAATAAACCTAAAAAGCCACCACATTATTCATCCTCTTACCGTCCAATTTCTCTTTTACCCATCATGGGCAAAACCCTGGAAAAAAACTCATCTTAAAACACCTATATCCCATCCTTGATTCTAACCACATTATCCCAGATCACCAATTTGGTTTCCCCACATCCCATTCCACTATCCAGCAATGTCATCGTGTGGTAGACGTAGTTTCCTCTGCATTGGATCGCGGAATGTACAACACGGAAGTCTTTCTCGACGTTGAACAGGCGTTTGATAGATTCTGACATCCTGAATTGTCTTACAAACTCCGTAAATTCCTACCACCTACATACTTCCTCATTATCCATTTCTACCTTACTGATAAATACTATGGCCTCTATCTATAAAACGATCGTTGTTTACACAGTTATCTATTGTTAATAAACAATTCTTTACTCACTGTGTTTATGTTAAGTTGTATAGTGAATTGATAATTGTTTAATTGGCACAGTTTTAATTGCACTAAAGTTCACTAATTAAGTGGCAATTAAGTCACTTTGTGGGAGATGATAAAGAAGTTTAAAGGTAGTTAGAAACTGGCGCATGCGAAGGCAGACAGAAAAATTAGAACATGCTTCCGAACCTTAACATGTATATTATATATTACATGCTTAATATAATACCAACAATGTTATGTATATGTACTTATGCAGTTTTCATAAATGGCATCGTTGTTATTATTTAATATTTAACTGTATAGATTACAGTGATATAAAAATTAAAATTTCTATATGGGAAATGTAAATAAATATAGTGTCTATAATTTTTACTTTCACTTCCCCGTTTGTCTGAAAATACTTATTTCTGCTGGAATGAGGGTGGTAAGTGAAATTAGTTTGATTTGTTTTGTTTATTTTCTCATTATTTTATGAATTCATTATATATAACTCCAATACCAATTGTTCTAAACTGTATCAATGTTAAGCTATAACCTAAAGGCCTTAGCAGAAATCAAATATATATATATATATATATATATATATATATATATATACATTTTTTGTCTGTTATTAATATTTCCTTTAAATGTAACACTTGATATCTTATTCCACAGATGGCAGCCTCTGTGAGCACTTATCTAGTCATGTTTGTTCAATTTGGCCGTCCTATAGTTCCTCGGAATTGAAAACTATACTTCTTCACTTCAGCCTTTAGATGTGTGATTTTCCTAGAATACCTTTTTGGTTAATCTTAATTACAATACTAGTAGTTTAAATTAAATTGTAAGAAAAAAATAAAACAATTCTAAAATGCAACTTTCTGTAAACTGTAAGATGTTATTTATTTTCCTTAGTATTCTTGCTTGGTAAAAAAAAAAAAAATTAACTTGTTTATATATAGAATAGATTAGAAACATTTTATTGGCTTAATATACATCGTAGCCATAGAGTCTGGCCCATTTAGTGTTAGCAGAGATTAGTTTTATAAGTAGATGAAAATAAATAAATAAACACAGTATAACGAGACAAAAACAAAAATATTTTTATATAACAAACATCATAAATATTTTTATTATTTGAAATATTTTCATATTTCAAATATTTTTAATATTTCCATATTTTATATATTCCAAATATTTTTACTATTAATATATAAATATTTTTATATAATAAATATCATAAATCAAGAAAATACATGTATACTAAGGAAAATTTACTATGCAGAACACAACTAAGCCAAACAAATAGCAGAGATCTTAGGATTACAAACGCACATGTAGGTACAAATAATAATAATATTTATATAATAATAACGGACAAATGAACACATGCCTGACCTAAAACTTAGGGTTTGTACTTGTATTGATAGAGTCACGAAAACTTATAATAAAATAAAATATTTAAAATAATATCGAAGCTATCGATGAATAAATGTAAAGAGATATATATTCATCCATCATTGCAATTAGGTTATTACTAGAGTCCATCTAGGATATTGTTTTGTCTGTTTTTATTCGTGAGAGGTATAATTTAAAAGATCGATTATATTATTCCCTGCTCAGTTCCTTGTAGAGCGTTCACCGGATGGAATCAATAAGAGTGAGGAAATCAAGAAGAAGATCGGAAGGTGGTTCGCTATGTCCTCAGACGCTGCTTGTGTTCCGGCTGTCATCCTGGATAGGTCTGTCTCCGCTGGTGTTCGAGGAGAGAGAGTCCAGGTTCTCGTACCCCAGAACCGTTTACTCGATCATTATTTTATGCATTACTTTATTTTTCGGCTTTTTGAACTACTATTTCGTTTATAAGTTAAACAACGTTTCATTATTGATCATTGCCTTGTTGAATGCAACGATTTATGTTTCGTTACACATTTCATCTGTGATTGATGCTTTCCGTAATGTATCATATTATGGACACATCTTTGAGGAGTTAGGAATAATCGACTCACAGCTCTCCGCCATTGGAGTTCTCAAGGTCCATCGCCAAGATCGGTCTACCTGGTTCTTTGAGATTTTATATATTTCTATATTTTTTATATTATCAATATCCTTGCGCTGGAATGTCTCTGTCATATTCTATTGTATCGGAGTGACAACTTATATCCTCATCTGCTGTCAGCTCAAAGCAGTTGGACGCCACATCCTCAGCCGCTACGATCTGGTCGTGTACACCCTCGACCAGCTGAAGAGCACACAGCACAGCATTAATAATAAAGTGGAAACCCTTCTAGCTGTTAACCATCAGCTGTCTAAAGTTGTGAATACATTTTCTTCCAGTAACAGGTTGCAATTCTTATCATTGACAATCTTCACTTTTGTTTTCGTTTCTTCGAGGCTGTACTTTATCTATTTCGACTGTCAAAAGATGTTTCATTATTTTTTCTTCATCATTTATTTCATCTTTTATGTATGTTTTCATTTTTTAAGAATCACGAGGTGTTCCTCTACAATAATGCTTAAGGTAAACCATAATAATATCTTATTTATAATAATTTTTTAAATTTTTTTTTTATTGAGTATTAATATAGTCTGCCACACTGAAGGGCATTGTTACTAGGTGTATAGTATTCATTCACACAATATGTACATAAGAATGGAAAAAAAGATATATAAATAAAAAAAATAAGTAATATACAACATAAATAAAATAACAGATTAGCTGAATAATAACAAAATAAATAAAAAACATTCACACCTGTGTACAATATTTACATTGACCTAGCGGACTCCGAATCAAGCTTCATCCCTCAATTGTTGAAGCCAAAGCAGGACTCCAGGAGATCTCAGTGCTACTCTCCCAGCCGCGTCACTGGTATAGTAAGCCAGTGGAGACTGATAGAGGGCATACTGTGGGTGCTGATTTCCATTTCGGGAATTCGCCGGACTTGTGTGTCTTTCCGCATTTCACGCATCTTGGTATATGATGGCAGTAAGCCTTGGTGTGGCCATATAACTGACAGTTGTATTGGCACTGGATAATTTCTCTTTTAGTGTAAGGTTTTTCAACCTTAACAAATTGTGTAATACAATCTTTTAATTTCGTATATTTTATCCACTCCTGCTAAGCGTTCTAAGTCAACAAAAAATAGAGGTAATGGAGTCTTTCTATTTCCTCCTGAGTCATCTCTGGTGTCCTTCATTACATTGGTGACCTGTCTTACTTTAAATCCCATGGCCGTAAGATCTTCTTGTATCGCTTCAACTGGTGAAGAGGGGTGTAAGTTATGGATCACTACTCTTAGAGAGCGCTCCTGCCTGAGCTGGTATGTGTGAAAATCGGCCTTTGTATCGGACAGATATTTAACTATTTGTCGATAAGCATCAGCTGTGCTTGGTGATATTTTAGTATCGCTAGTGTCTATAATAAGTAGGTGTTAAATAATACTTAGCTATGATTTCGGCTTATTACTTGGTAGTAATAACTAAATAGCAACGCCTAATTATTTCAAAAAAATAAATAAAAGAGGATTCATTAAAATTCTTGATACCATTCTTGGAATGGCTGTCATAGAACTCTTGGACCGCAATCTCAACTTATGCAAAATTATTAATTTTTTTCCTTTTAAGAAAACTATAGATCTAAGTAAGTAGTAATCCGATGTAGCAAGGTCTGAATTATATGGTGGATGAGGCAGGAGCTCGAATCCATGACGTCAATTAAACTTTTCTTTGGTTCGACGTGAAGTGTGAGGACAAGCATTATCTTGTTGGAATAAAATTCCTTTTCGGTTGATCAATACAGAAAAGCGCTCTGAGAGCTTCTCGTACAATTCAGAATTCGTAGAGTATCCATCAGGAACAAACATGTGATTGCTGAGGAGTAAGTAGACTGAGTGACACTATTCTGTTTCTTCTTTGAAACAAATA